CGCCATGGTTCTGGCTTGCACTCCCCTCAGCATGGCGGCGTGGGTATACCGTTCCCCATAGCGACCCCTAGAGGACGCAGTTCGAAGTTCCACGAAAGGGAACGTCTCGGGTTACTTATGTAACCATGGTTCCCTGAGGGGAACGAGACACTGCGTCCTCTAGCTTTTGTGCCATGCTGCGGACACAAGCTTCAGACGAAGAAGTGATGATGTGCGCTACCGGCGCCTATTTTGTACTAGTTGCGACGGTAGTGACGTCATGGCTGTCGCCGGCCAAACAAGTTGGTGTTTTTTCAATGTAGGCTTCAGACACGGGTCACGACGAGGTGTTCCCCATAGCGACCCCTAGAGGACGCAGTGTCTCGTTCCCCTCAGGGAACCATGGTTACATAAGTAACCCGAGACGTTTCACATCTGGTTCTGCAACTGATTTTTTGTTTTATTATATTTTATATAAATAATGTTTATTGTCAAAGTCATTCATTTGTGTCGGTGTACTGGCAGTAAAATAAGTAAAACAAATAAAACATAAATTCATAAATTAAACCTATGATCTGTTTATTTGAACTCTGCCTCAGTCCTTAGACTGATATTTCATGGCCAAAGTTAATTTTTGAGCTCAGTATATAAATTACGATACCAAAAAAACAATGCCAACACATTATAATGTAATATAATGTAAAGGAAATAGAGCTGAGGTGCGCTTTAAAACAGTCACGTGGTTTTCAGGCGAATTAAGCTTCGGACGTCATAGATCACATGCTTTTCTCAAAACGAATCAAGCTCTGATACAGTGCTTCAATGTGAAATGTGTGTTTTTTTATACAAGTTTTGAAGTTTCGTTGTTGAACGTAACATCACTATTTTATTGATGTTTAGGTCAAATGTGTTACTTCCAGATGTTATGGGAACTGAAAAAAACAGAGACAATTAATAATCAGCGCAAAAACATTTATTGTGCTGAAATATCTGTTGTTGAAAGTTAAATTAAGTTTTAAAGGTCAACATGCTTTGCAAGTATTTTATGAGAGTAGGAACTGTAATGGGATAACAGCATGTAATTGTCTGAATATAAATATCAGATGCTTCATAATAACCACCTTTTACAGGATAAAGAAATGACAGTAAGACGTGACTGTGATCAAAGTGAACGTGTTCCTGCAGAACATTACTCTTACCTATTGGTTACCACTGAGTTTGTGATTTTATTCGTCTTTATTATTATTTTAATTTTTAATGCAGAGATTTAATTAGTGAATTTTTTGTAAAAAAAAAAAAAAAAAATCCGATTAATCGAGAAAGAAAAAAATATCGACCAACTAATCGATGATCAAAATAATCGTTAGTTGCAGCCCTAATATTTTGCACCCACACTGATAATTTAATTGTTTAATGCTACCATTTTTGTAAGATATTCAGTGAACCAACACAAGATGGCAGTGCTTGACCATTCGTATCCTTTAAAACAAAAACTGTCCGACATAATGGTCTGCTTTTAGTCACCTAAGACGTCTTTTTTTGTTGTTGCCTGATTACGAAATATAACACACACACAACAAGCTGTTGTGTATAAACCACATATATTTATTATAAATCTGAATATATGATCTATATTTATTATAGATCAGTGAACACTGAAAAATTCATATATTTTTTTTGAATAGCAATATCTGGATTTGTTTATTTGTTGAACATCTCTGGTCGAGGAAAATTGTACAATGGCCCATAACATTTTGTAACAGCAGCAACACACAAACTTCATTTTTTAAAACTTTATTCCGAACATAAAATAAATACTATAAAACAAATCAAAAGCAATACAACATAATACATAACAATTTTAAATTATACATGTCCAAAAGATATTGCAATTCTATAAAGAATTGCTCTTTGTTACACTTGCGCCTGATGGCCGCTCACACATCAGATGTACTTGTGTGTGAAAACTACACAAGAACCGCATATATCAAAGTAAAAGAGGTATGGTCAGAGTACATGTTCATACAACTTTTTCTTTTTACTACATCAGACTGTAAATCTCCTATATTAAACCCGTACTACTTAAAGGGATACTCCACCCCAAAATGAAAATTCTGTCATTAATCACTTAGCCCCATGTCGTTCCAAACCCGTAAAAGCTTCCTTCGTCTTCGGAACACAATTGAAGATATTTTGGATGAAAACCAGGAGGCTTGTGACTGTCCTATTGACTGCCAAGTAAATTATTGTCAAGGTCCAGAAAAGTATGAAAAGCTTCGTCAGAAATAATCCATCTGGCATCAGTGGTTCAACCGTAACGTTGCTCAGCTGTGATTGGATGGGCTGACGTCACGGGACTGACTAGATAACGGGCACGGTTTTTGAATCTTTTTAGGAAACACACTAAAAATATATATTTTGCCATAAGTAAAAGTTATTACATTAAAAAAGGCTAAATGTAGGCTTTATATGAAAGACTTATGTACACTGAAAAAAATAATAATTTTTTTTTTTAAGGTAAGTGGTTACAAACAATTTATTTTAGCTACATTTAAATAAACATTTTTAAAATTTGACAATATATATACGATAAACAAATAAAATTTGTTTATTTAAATGTAGCTAAAATAAATTGATTGCAACCACTTTCCTTAAAAAAAATTTAGTAAATTAAATGAATAATCCCCCCCCCACAGTGAAATATAGTAAATATTAGTAAATATATAAATAGTAAGTATATTTACTATTGTTTATGTATTTATTTGATTAGCTTTTAATTAGTTATAATAACCTATAGCCCTATGCTCTATACAAACATATTTTCTCCAAAAACATTATTTAAAAGAAAAAAAGTTGTTTGGGAATGGGAAACCTGATGGTGTTAAATCAAAAGGAATTGTTTAAATAAAGTGAACAGCATTACATTTTTTTTCTCAGTGAGCAGTGTTCTTTATCATTCCTGTAATAACACGACTCTTTAAAAGAGATCAATTCTGTTGTACAGTTAAGTGACGGAACATTCTGTGAAATTATGACCCTGGTGGCTTTCAAGTGTGAGGATGGGCATCTTCTGCATCCAAACAGATTGTTTTAGCTAAAGACTGTGCGTGGAGGAACATTTTTTAGAGATGTTCAGCTAAATATATCCTCAACATGTATATAGTGTCTCATAATGTATTTGCTGTCCATCCTCAATCACTCACATAT